AAATATTTGAAAGTGCAAAATAAGTTTGGATTTGGAAAACTGGAAGACGGTGTCAATGACATCTAGTGGAGAATTATGGTACTACAATTTATTATGTTTAAGGGAAACTTGGCTTGAAGCCCAGACTCAGATAAGACTCTTTGTTGTTCCTGGACACTTTCACTTTTGCAGACTGCAGCTGGGAAAAGGGAAAAACAAAAACTCTTGGGTTGCTTGTCTAGGTTGGGGACCCTATTGGACTATAAAACTACATACAAAAACAAAATGAGTGTTCCATACTCAGCCTTAAATGGTAAAAAATCATCTTCAAAACATGTCTCCAAAGCTCCCAGCTTGATATATCAACAGGAAAATGTTAATGAATCTCAGAAAGAAATTCTTTCCATGTTGAAATCAATCCAAGAGACAATTGTTTCATTTCAGGATGAGACTAAAAATAACACAAATGAGATAAAAGAACAATTTTCTAACCTAAACTTACAAATCTAGACAATGACTTCAAAGAAGGAACTAATAACCCAGAAAATGGAAGAAAAATTAGAAGAAACGGATCCAAAGATGGAGGACCTAAAGGAAGGAATTAACAGACAGATACAGACTAATGAAAAAATAGAAGATGCAATGATAACACCGGAAATGGAAAAGACATCGTACTTGTCAAGATTCAGAACACATTTGAGGATAAGGAAGAAGAGCTGATCGAATGGATGATAAAGCTGTTAGGAGAAATGCTGAACATTGACAAGCAAATGAAAAAAAAAACTGAAGGAGAAGGATGGAGGCTGTTTAATGAATATAAATGGGTTGAGCATTCTTCCAAAAACATTTCAACCAAATTCTTTTCCTCATTGCAAATAATATATACAAAAACGGAGGAAGAACTACTTGATGATTTAAATGTACTGACTTGGAAAGTTATTTGGCAAAGGAAGAAAGCTAGAGTAAGACTGAAGAAAATTGAGGATCTGACCTATTAGATGGGATATTATACTACTAAACAGATGTTTGAATATGGCTAAGAAAATACCGTAGATAACTGTTAGAAATAAAAGTATTATAATTAGAAGGATAGGATTTGTAACTAGATACTTTGTTATGAGATGGGAAATATGAAAATTCCAAAAGGGTTTGAATAAGGGAAGCTTTTAGTTACCCAAATATAATTTATTATGAAAAAATATAAGTGATAGAGATATTTTGAACATTGATGGGAAATTAAAATTTTAAAAAAGCGGGAAAAACAGGATATTGATTCAATAAATGGATTTTAAGTGTAAATGCAATTGAGCTATATTTTGGCTAGAAAAGATATTATAAATTGATACTATCGATATTATGTATAATACCAGAAAAATGTGATGAAGATGTCTATATTTAATTGTATATGTATTAACAGTAACAAGAATTGTATTTGCCCAGTATGGAAAAATGCATACTGCCGGAAGAAGAGAAGACCAAGGAAGCACTGGATGGCGTAGTATTGGACTAGACTGAAAAAGTTAATATGTATCACTGAATTACTAATAGATCCAGACAACACGTTGCTTATTAAGTACTTATGATTGTAAAATTAGAAAAATTAATAAAATATTTATAAAAAAACAAAGTAGTCTGGTTACCAAGCCTGTGAAACAGAAAACAAGAAGCCATATAGCATATTTCATAGACAAGATTCATGGTTAACCAGATTCTTCACAAATGTTCATTTGCCAAAAAGAGATGAGCCATATGATCTAATGCCAACACTTTTATTCAACACCAATATATATATATTGATGCCCATCTGGGCCTGTGCCAGCCAGTTGTCACTTATTCAGAAATCTTCTCTCCCTCTTCCTTCTGGTATCCCAAATCTCAGATAAAGATGAGACTTAAAATAGAGTTGTAAACCTGTCACCCACACCATTACAGAAGTGTAGGCCATGTGATCCTCATTCCTTTGGAGGGTGAAGAAAATTGTTGAAAACCTCAGGCAACCAGCTTGAAGGAATTTTATACTTTCTGTTGCTAAGTGAGACAGTTGTGAATTTTGCCCCATTTTACGACCTTTCATGCCACCATTGTTAAGTGAATCACTGCAGTTGTGAAGTTAGTACCGTAATAAGATTAAGTGAATCTGGCTTTCCCATTGACTTTGCTTGTCAGAAGGTTGCAAAAGGTGATTGCATGACCCAGGATATTGCAGCCGTCATAAATATGAACTAGTTGCCAAGCATCCAAATTTTGATCACATGACCATGGGGATGCTGCAGCGATCATAAGTGAACAACAGCCATAAGTCACTTTTTTCAGTGCCATTATAACTTTGAATGGTCACTAAATGAACTCTTGTAAGCCAAGGACTGCCTATGTACAATAGTGCTTTTTTATATTTCTATCTTACATTCTTCAATTATCGCAAAGCCCACAAATACAAACCACTTCACAGTTCCGTTCATAAAACAATTATCTATCTGGCTATCTGTCATTTTTCTACACCACCCATCTCACCTAAGGGACCCTGAGCAGTTTATTTCCTTTAATCTTATACAGGAAACCACATACTCTGAAACTATAACAAAAGAATGAATGTGCAAGTATTTTTTTAATATTCTTTGATTTATATCTTTTGACTTGGTAATTATGAAGATTTGAAAAAAAAATGGGTTGAAAACTAATTTATCTTGTTTGAAAGATCTTAGCTATAGTGGTTATCAATAGCACCTTTTTTCTCTGATATACAGATAAGTACATTAATGTTGTAAGCTAGTTTTTCAAAAATGTGAATTGTTGCTGTCTGGCTAGATATCAGTCATAAAATCTCCAATGCTACTTAATAAATTTGAAAATAGCATGCAATTGATAGTAATGAAACCTACACAATGCCAGAAAAAAGGACATCAAATTTTTGAGATAATTGAGCAATTGTTAATTCCTTTAATTTTATTATCAATTCTTGAAACCTTTATACATTGCCCATCTTGTACCAAACTCTGGGTGGCTCACTTTATGTTTTGAATGACACATCTATTAGGGGGATGGAACAAATTACTGCAATGGGCATACAACATTTGTCATTTGTAAACTTAAAATAACTAAAATGACCAAGGACAGTGATGTGGTTTGGTAATATTCCCACCTATCTTGACAAATTGTTGCCATTATTGTGGTTGTTGTGGAAGAGACAGGGCTGGTAACAGCTGGGAATGAGCTGTTGTGTCATGATCCTAAGGTTGGTAAGAGTAGAAATGGGTAGCCTTCTGCCCATCATGAGAAGCAAGGCAATATTAGGAATTCTTATCTGGACAGGAAAAAGCAAGCTCTGACAGGAAGAGCTTTTCACAGCAACTACTGATCCCTGGGAAAGATTATATGTGAACATGATTTTGATTATTTGTCAGTAACATTCTAAATCTCCAAAAAAGAAACAGAAACAAAAAGAAAAAGAAAGGAAAAGAATGTGTGAACATACAGAAATAATGGTTATATTTTTAAAAAAATAAAAATAAAAATGGTGAAACAAAGATTGAAAAAATTACATTAAAAAGCATTCTGGTAGCTCTCTTCTCTTCTTCCTTCCCCTTTCTTCCCTAGTTGCAAATTGCTACTTGAATACTTTTATACTATATTTTGGACATCTATGATTATTGTTTGTTCCTATTTGGATCATTTTCATAATTTTTTTAAAAAAAAAACTCATCCTTTTTCTTCAGAAACTATATTCCAAGCATCTTAGCTTGCCTTGCTGTGTGATAAGCTATTCAGTATATGAGGGAGCCGTTCCTGCTTCAATTTGTTTAAACTTTTGCTGTGGGATTTTTTTTCCATTGCCTCCTTATTCAATTTTAGTTTACCAATTCTGTTTGTCTTTTCCAATGTTGTGCCAGATTGATTCTTATCATTATTCTTCATTAAGCAATTCTAGTAGTGTCTTCAATCTACTTCTTGAGTACAGCTACGTTGCATTGGCATATATGTTCAAATCTTTCTTACTGTAATTGTACTTAAAGTAAAAAATCATTGATGTAATTATTTCAAATAGGACTTTATTGCATCCTGTCAAGTAAAGTCCTAAATATTTTACTGGATCTTTTATTATCTCACAGCCAGTCTCTTTTTTACACTTTCTTCTTTTTAAGTTAAGGACCTTGTTGTTATCTTTCTTTTCTTTGATTTTATATTCAGAAAAGCAACCAAATCTTTTATTACTTTCATCAACTATAGAATTTTGTGCTTATAATCATATTGTAGTAATTTTTAGTATTACATCAAGTGCATAGCATTTCATATTATACTGTGTTTCTTGAATGTTCATTCCAATTATCTATTATCTTTTCATATCTTGTGGTCATGACTTCCAGAGCAGTCACAAAAAGTAAAGGGGATAATGGACAGCCTTGTCTTGTACCTTTGCTAATTGAAAAGCCTACGGAAAGTATTTCATCTTTGCTGCTTGCCATGGCTACGCGTTCTCCACACGTTTCAAATTCTTTTCCAGGATTAATTCTGTTTAAGACCTCTAGTAAAAGCAACCCATTCCAAATTGTCAGAGGCTTTTTCCAAATCTAGAAGTATTACTATTGCCTTCTTTTTCCATAATGTTAATGAATTCTAGGGCATTTATGATAACTCTGTTATTTTTCATCTTTCTTTCTGGAATGTAATCTCTCTGGTATATTCTGTATGTATTCTTTCTGGTATGCCTTTCTTCATATGTTCAGCTAGTACAGTAGTAAATATTTGTAATCAAAATTCAGTGAAGAATTTGGTTTATATTGCTAAGTTTATTTGGGTGCTTCTATTCTTTGTTCAAGTGGCATATTCTTATGTATGTTTTATGTTTTGCCATGGAAAGTATAGATCTGTTTTTAATAAAACAATAGAGGAAACTAAATGGACCAAGTACATTATTTATATGCCAGTAGTATCTTTATTCAATATTAACAATTCTTGTTATTTCTTATTCATCACAAACATTTGTTAAACTCTCTTAAAAATTATAGTTATTTATTCTTTTTTAGACTAAGAACAAGGATTCATGTCTTCAGGATGAAGTAACATCTTCTGTTTCACAACTCGCAACAAAGGTTTGTTTATTTTTGAGATGTGAATTTAAACTTTATTTTGGATTTCCCCTATTGGGGATGTTTCAAGTACAGTACTATTTGTTCAAGCAAGATTCCTTTGTTATGACTGTACAAGATGATTTATTATATTCTATTAACCTTTATATTCTTACTATTGCATTATTAGATATATTTTGCTTGTGTTTCATAAAATAAAACATGTCAGTTTTGTTGTTTAAAATATAAATTATCGCAGCCTTTTTCTTTTTTCTTGTGACACCACAGGATCACAAACATCTGACTGGTTTATCAAAAGAACTGTGGTTTAATACACAACATGAAACAACATCAGGGAGCATACAGAATACAAGGTAGTCAGTTATGGTCAAACGGTTCAAGTGAGCTAAAGATTCCAACTGCCATTCCCCTCAGACACAGTCTCTTAAAGGGATACTACCCCCAAAATACTCTGCTGACCTATTCTCCAAACATCACTTCTGCCGGTCAGCTACTAAATTATAATTACCTTGACACTCCTCCCATTTAGAGCTGAACGACTGCTAGTCCGAACGCCTTTACCCAATTTTGATACTTGTCTGAACTCAAAGTCTTCGTTAATATATCAGCCAAATTATTTTCAGAGGGACAATGCATTAACTCTATTAGTATATTCTTTACTGACTCTCTTACATGGCAATTCATTATTTTGTAACACCTTTTTATATACCCACTTACATTCCACGGCCTTTTTTCTTTCTGGTAATCTCACGGGCGAGAACACTTGATGCACATCCATAGATTCCATTTCCCTATCCATGGTTTCTTTCCATTTTTCTCATTCTGTTTTCGGTAAGGACATCATTTCTTGGTAATTGCAAGGTTCATAATGCAGACTACATACTCTAATCTCACTTGTATCTGTCAGGAGGTACTCCTTTATTAATTCGTTCCAACCTCCTTGGTAACACCTGTTCCTGTGCTTCTGTGTCTTCATTTTTCATGTCAGGTCTCCTTTATGTTTACAGTTTCTGACCTGCTACCTATTTTCTCTGATGATGGGTCTTCTGTAGCTTCTCCTCCCTGAGATCTATTACTATGTGACGGAATAAACGCTTCTGTGTTGGCATGTACCCTATCCCAATTACTATGTTCTGCAAAGCTGGCAGAACGTGAAATCACAACTTTCTGAGTTCCATCAGTAAACCTATATCCCTTGGATCCTGGCTCATATCCTATAAACCTCAGTTTTTTGGTTTTTTCTGTTCCTTCCTTCTAGTGCTCTTAGGATTATGGACCCAGGCATAACTACCAAAAGTTCTTAGGTGAGCCAATGAGGGTTTCTTGCCGTATAACAAAAAATATGGAGTTTCGTTCACAGCAGAACTCCATAATCTATTTATTAAATAGTTAGCTGTTTTTATGGCTTCTCCTCAGTACCCTCTACCAATGCCTGCATCTGCAAGTAGTGAGTCCTTCATGGTCTGTAATACACCATTTCTCCTTTCAGCTACTCCATTTTCAGTGGGTGTATATGAGTTTGTTTGTCTGTGTCTAATACCTAGACTCCTAAGCCAATGTTGAAAATTGTCGGACATAAATTCTGCTCCCCTATCTGTCTGCACTTGGCATACTTTACGCCATATCTGCGTTCCACAATTACCAGAACATACCTTGCTCCTCCAATAAATGGTGCCATAGGACCTATTAAGTCAGTGTGTACTAATTGTAAAACTTTGTTTGTCTTTCTTACTTACAGGATAAACCCTAGATTTTGACTCCTTACACATGGCACAATCTAGGTATGCATCACAGTTCTTCACTTTCAGTCCTTCTGCTATTTCTGGCATTTTCTGTAACACTCTAAAGCTGGCATGACCTAATCTCCTATGCATTAGATGCACACAGTTATCATATGTGGGTGTGTTTTTCAGAATACGTGCACAAACATCCTTCTGTTCTCCTAATATGTATAAACCATTCTGTCCAATATCCCATGCACAAATCCTCCCATCTTTCTTGATAGTATATTGTCCTCTAGCAAACATTACTTCATATCCCTTGCTATCTAGACATGCAACACTTAGTAAATTATGGTATATGTTTGTCACATATAACAACTTTTTCAATGTTACCCCTAGTTCAGGTACATAGACATATCCTTCCCCTTTAACTGCTGACCGTTGTCCATTAGCCAGGCTGACAAAATCCTGGTTAGTTGGTCTTAAACTAATAAATGCATGTGGGTTTGCTGCAATATGCTGGCTTGCCCCACTGTCTAGTAGCCACTTGGTGAGCGTGTTTTTCTTCGTTGCTGCCAGAATAAATAATGTCCCATCTTTGGTTGGTTGCATAGTTCTATATCCTTGTCTTGCTGTACCTCTGTTTTTCCTCTTTGGACAGCGTCTTTGGAGATGTTCTGTAGAACCACATGCCTAGCAACGTTTTACAGTGCAAACGGTCTCAGCTCCTCTTTTTTGTTTCTCTGATGTTGCTGTCATAGGTCTGGTTTGGGCATTTTCTCCTCCCTTTCCTCGGTGCCTATCCAACCATTTCTGTTCTTCTTCCAGTAACCGGCCAGTTAAATATCTCCTGGTTAAATCCTGTTCATTCATGGATTCTAAACTTGTTACTAGAACGTCCCATGAATTGTCCAATGAACTGAGCACCACATATACTTTGTGTGCCTCAGTAAAGATCATTCCTCTTTCTTCTAATTCTAGGAATGTTTTTCTCATGTCCTGCAAATGCTTAGACATGCTCTCTCCCTGTTTAAGTTGTACTTTATACAGTCTCCTTGTCAACATTACTTTGCTGCCTGTAGTCTCTCTCACATACACACTGCGCAAAGCCTCCCAGCACTCTTTTGCAGATTGGAGACCTCTTACATGTATCAATTGGTTATCCTCCAAACTCAGGATAATGTTACCTAACGCCTTCTCATTTTTCTTTGGTCCCCTTCATCCAGTTCTATTGGAGAATTAGTAACTATTATCCACAGCTCCTCTCTTCTTAGATACATTTCCATTTTTAAACTCCAGGAGAGATAGTTCATTTCATTCAGCCGGGATACCGCAAAGCCTCCTCCCATAACACTGACAGAGGCCATTTTTTGACTTCTACCTTGTATAGCCACAAACCATACTCAAAAACACAATGCCCAGTTCCTCTGACTCTGGTCAGGTTCTCACTTGTTTTCTCTTGGCTTTCCTTCACTCTGGGCTTTCCTTCACTCTGGGCTTTTCTTCAAACTGGGCCCATAACCTGTGTTTTAAAATATAAATTATCACAGTCTTTTTCTTTTTTCTTCTTGTGACAACACAGAATCACAAACATCTGAGAGTGGTTTATCAAAATAACTGTGGTTTAATATACAACATGAAACAACAACATTCAGAGAGAGCATACAGAATACAAGGCAGTCAGTTATGTACAAACCTTTCAAGTGAGCTAAAGATTCCAACTGCCATTCCCCTCAGACACAATCTCTTAAAGGGATACTACCCCCAAAATACTCTGCTGACCTATTCTCCAAACATCACTTCTGCCGGTCAGCTACTAAATTATAATTAACTTGACAAGTTTATGTTCTTTATAATAGGAGATTGTGTGTGACACTTTCAACTCTACTTTCTGTTTGTTTGCAGGGTCTAAATTTTAATATTATATAACCAATTTTTCTTCTAGATACAGATTTCTTATGGGCAAATTTAGGTGTTTAATCAGTTTAGCATATGGCAGCATTTAGTTGATCTTAACTGTTCTCTGAATCTAAGCAAGGTCAGATCCAGTTGGTACTTATCTTCTTTACTACCCCCTCTTATTGTGATGATGATGATGACGACGACGACGACGACGATGACTGTTGCTTTGCATGTACACTGAGAGCTTCTGCACCAGAGACAAATTCCTTGTGTGTCTAATCACACTTGGCCAAATAAAATATTCTATTCCTATTCCATTCTTATTCCATTCCATTCTATTCTATTCCTGTTCTAATGGGAGACCACCTGCTAATTCCAGAGCTGTTGAATAGATTGGGAGAGTAAAAAAAATCTGGAAGAAGGCAGTAGTGAACTTATTCTATAACAAATACCGCAATGAAAATTGCATGGATCAAGTCACCAAGACTCAAAGTCAGCTTTACATTTCTTTGTGTAAGAACTAGTCCTTAAACCTGCTTTTCAAACTTTCTATATATTAATATTTTGACGGTTAAAAACCTAAAACTAGAAAATAGATCATGACTCACAGTATTAAAGAAAATAGAGTCCTATTTTAATAATGCAATAAGGAAATCTGTCCAAGTAATCCTTGGATAGGCCTTTTTGATTTTATTCTGTAAATAATTTTTCTGGGCTATTGCAGAACTTAATCCCCCATTTTTCAAAGTTTATTGTAGCAATTGTCTTAAAAGCAATCACTTCTTGGGCACTTTATTTTTGAAGACTTGAAAGCTTGCAATTATCACCTTGTTGTAATGCAACTGTAATGGATGACTTCTGTCCCACTTGCATTGAATGATTCCTTGCAAGAAGTTATAATTGTCAAATTGACTGCATCAGAGCCAGCAGATGATGTTATGCTGGATAGCTACAATTAAGTTGTTTCAATAAATATTAACATCACAATTCTTCACTGCCAGAAAACATACAACTATGCACCATACCTGGTTTGATCATGAATGCCAAGATGCTAGGAGGTCTCTGAGTCAGTATTTAAGCATATTTCTAACTGTATAAAGGAAACCCTGGTTTTTGCTCAATATCTGACTTTCAGAAATCCAAAAGCATAATAAACAGTTAAGCCATGACAAAAAAGAAAAGCTATAAGAGAATCCTGGCAACGTCTGATTGTGCCAATCCATATATAGCAGAGTTCCCCAACCTTTCCAGCTTTGTGACCGGCGGTTGGGGGGGGGGAGGGATTGTTTCTGTGTGAGCTGCTGGCAAGCATACACATGTGTGCTGTTCCATTTGTATGAGCAGTGGGGACGTCCGCCCGCTGCTTGCACAAGTAGGGAT